ACACTTGAATAAAGACAACAGATGAATAATTTGTGCATAAAGATGACGAACTAACATCCAATTTTGGTTTGTTATCGATTTAAAAAAACATTAATTCAACTAAAATAGACTTTTGATGAAACATTTAACAAAATGCCCACTTTTACCCTACCTAGAGATGAACTAGCCTAAGGCTAAAAATCTCTTTAATAAAGAATTAAAAAAAAAAAAAAAAAAAAAAAAAACTTACCCTACCAGTAGTGGAGCAAAAGTACGCAGTCGGAACCGTTTTGCTTAATCTATAATTAAAGAAAAAAATCATGTTTTTTTAATTGCAATCTACAAGGGTGGAGGCGAACCAGCCCCAGGCTGAAAGCCTCCCTAATAAAGATAAATTAATTAATTAATTAATTAATCTACAAGGAATTGTGGCCAAATAGTCACGGAATCGATTCACGATTATAAACTAAAATTTAACATTACGGTGAAAAAGATACATGCATTTTAAAACTAAGTGCGTACTGTTGCCCCACTTTACTATTTGGAAAAATTATCGCAATAACCTGGATTGGCACCTGGTTAAAAAAATAATGAATTGAAACATATCGAGTAATGGATTTGTATTCATTTTGATGAATAAGATGTGTACATATCGAACAAAGGAAGCCTTCCAGCGAATGAATGACTGTAAAACCAACCAATAAACTAATTCAAGTAATAAATCACATTCCATAAACTAATCGCCAAAGCAATTCATTACCAATCAGGACATTTCCGACAGCTTACATAAATGGTCAATTTCTCGGAATCGTCCGTCTTTTTCAAACTTATCAGATCTGACCATTCGAGCAAGATTAATGTTCTCACCGGTTCTTTGACTGCCAGAACCGGCTCCCGCACTCATTAGCTGTCATCGAGCCTAACCAGTGACCATTTTTCAGCGCATGCATTTTTCATAATCGGATGCTCGTCCGTCCTGTCCTACCGCCCGCTCCCTATCCTTTTATTTGCGCACACCGAAAGACGATGACGACGATTATCCTTTAAAAAGGTATGCGTCCATCATCCGTCCCGGTTGTCTACTTTGACCAGGGCAGCACAGTCAACGAAAAATCGTTGAAAAGCGAAATTGACTGCTGAGTTTCTTTTTATTTGTGCGTGTCTTCCAGCACCGCTCGTTTTCCTGTCCAATCGAAGGAGGCTGTTGCACTTTTCGCACACTCTCGCTTGCTGCGGTTCTCACGAAGCAGGTGGATGTGGATGTGGCCAATTTAGATAAACGTACAAATTGGTTCTCCTTTTCTCTGGGGATTCTTTTGCTTGGTATATTTTTTTCGGAGGGACTTTAAACCAGTTTAGAGGGTAAGTTGATATTAGTCATCTGCTGGGTCAACCAGAAAACAGGGGTCGATTAAGCCAAAGTATGACGGCGTGCCAGAAAGGTCGTTCCACTTGTCTGATCGTCTTTACGGTCGAAATCTTAAAGGTTTTGTTCTCGAATGCATCGAGTCAGTTGAGTCTGGGTGTCAGACAAGTCGCAGTTGCATGAGATCATCGAGGTGACGTCAATGATCGCATTAATTGACGTGCATACTATTAATTAAAAAGAAAAAAAGATAATCGAGGATTGGAAAAATTGTATTTTTTATGATGAGGGGGCTAGTTGTTGTGATTGTTTTTACAAAAAGGTAGACCCCTCGTCACAGCACAGTGCGTCGTCATAGAAGACCTTGAGTTCTCCCAATTTGGGGTAAAACTGCTTGATTTAAATTGCAAAGTTATAATATTCTCGCGCAATTAATAAACGTATGCTCTAATACGGCTTACTTCCCGAATCGCATTCAACCATTGATCTGGTGTCAATTCTGTCTTCCAACCAACCTTCACCGGCACGAACTATGACGGTATGCTACCATTATCGACTAGCAGCAGCACCGGACAACAAAAGCCCGTTAATGTTAATTTACGAATTGACATACAAATTATTCAAATTGAGTTCGGTACAAGACACGCGTATGTATCGGAAGGTTTGATGATCCGTTGTCTCCACTTCATGGGCCACGACGATCGACGCGTGCTTTCGACGCCGCCTGCTGCTCTAATCCAAAACCAGTAGTTACTGTCGGTCGCCAACGTGATTCAGCCTACTGTGTCGTGTGCGCTAAAGACACGATTAATTATTAGTATTACCGGTTCGTTCAAACTTGGCTTTTGCTGTGATCTAGAAAATGCATGTACTCACCATTATAGAGATACTAGGGCAGGGATTGTGCCGTAGGGAGACAGTAATTGGTGCAATTTAGTTGATCACGAACTTCGGTGGCGGGCAAGTTCAAATGTTCGACCAAGTCTATTTGGTCTAATCCCGTCGGACTGCAGCAGCTGTAGGACGGAACCAAATTCATTATCAGCTGCAAAGCGTCCACAGCATCGAGCACCGCCGGAAAAAAAGATTAATGGTTCTCGATTTCACGATTCAAGACCAAAACCAACTCTCCCAGAATCCCGCTTATAATTGCTATCCTGAACCTTGAAACTTGCGGCGTCCGAGGTGCATCGATTCCACGAATCAGCACATATTCAGCACACCCATAAATTTCGCTCTGCCCTCTGATTTTGTTTTTATTGCTACGCGTTGAGATTTCTTCCCTTTAGGGGCAATATTTATTCCAACCCAGACCGCATCGCCGTAAATCGTAGGAATTCGCTACATTCCTCCAAGTGTCTGCGCTCAAGTACGCGTCTTTCTTCGTACCTTACACCGGTTAAATATTCCTCCTTCGGTGTTAAACGAAATGCATCGCGCACCGCAGGGTACGAATGACATAGACCGGGGCCTTCCCGTAATCAATAACCTTGGACTGGGTCATTCCAACCTTGTCCCGAGCCCAACCCAGGCGTGGTGATGCGTGGCAATTTCTCTCGATCGTTAAGAACTGACCATGCACTAAAGCCTCGACGTCGGACGTCGAGTGGAATGAAGTGTGCACTTTATCAAAACTTCCTTGTTGTTATTGTAGCGCAACGATCGAGCTTGAACATGAACCGGTCGATCTAGCTGATTGGTGATCACAACAAGTACCTACAAACAACATTTCGTACATCCTATTGCTTACTCATGCCGATGCAAATGACAAGAATAAGATGACCAACAGTCAGCGGTGGATGGACGTCATGAAGATAAGCGAAAGTGAAATGAGTAATAGCGTGTAAAACTTAACAATGATATGTACATTTACATCTTCAGTCTAGAGACTTTTGACGAATCGGATGAGTCAATTAGAGTTTTGCTGTCCATGATGCATCATTGCGAAATAGGACACGATTGCACTATAGTATATCAGACGGACGAAAATCGAAAAACCGACTTTCATCAATCCTTTTTTTTCGAAATTTTGTATCGACAGTAATCAGTTGTAGTTCTTGAGAAATCAGACGGAAAAAAAGGTAAGAAAAGTGCGCTTTTGCCGCAAAAATAACACTCACATAAATTTTGGACCACTATTACCAACATATTTAACTGAAGGATCGCAGTAGTCCGCGCTTGAAAGCTGACGTGTTTTTCTTTTGCTACGTATTTTTCGTAAGCGAATTAAACACCTTTTGGCTTTAAATTTGTTAATTTGTGTGCTGAAATTTAGTTTCAAGTGTTCATAAAGTTATCATTTAGTGATATATCGTGCTTTGCACGAGTTTGCCTTGAGTGGCTCGGTTGACCTTGAAGCTAACCTCCAAAATATACGACGCAGCTTCAGTTCCATTGTTCGGTGTCGATGAGTTCGGATGCTGCACTTTCGGCGTGTAGATTGAGAGATCGTCCGGTTAGTGAATGTGTTGATAATGTGTCCGTCGCGAGTTTTGGTGGTGATTCGGTGGCCGTGAACTTTTCCTGGGGAAAGCACTAGACGCGAACCTCCTCCCAGATGACCATGGCAATGCAAACAAATTTGTGTTTGTTACAGGAAGTATTACGACAAAGGTGCATCACGAAATGAGATGCAAAGCTTAGAGAAAATCAAAATTACGGAACCGGATCAAATGAACATGGTGAGACCAGTCCAAATACATTTTACAATTTAAAAAAAAACATAAACTAAATACGTGCCAGGTTTGAAACGAATATTTTCGAACCTGGAAGCGTGAAGCGTACCAATATCCATTTGATAACGGTTTTTTTTTTGACGTTGGATAACGTCTTTCGGCAACATACGGGGGTACAAAATTGAAAACAGTCATTTTGGATGAGTTACGAAAAATTAAAAGATTTTGAACGATAATAACTCAACCATCTCTCGATAGATTTACGAGATAATGGCATCAATCGATTGGAAATATTTCTAGCAATTTACTGAATGTTTCAAAACTATTGATTTCATTCTGTAAACTATTGAAAAATGGTTAAAAGTAAACCATTGTCTAAAGATGGTGAAAATCGATTGATTTTTTTATATTTTTATACTTTCTCCAACTGAGACATCAGATGCGAGTATCTGACACCTCTGATATTTTCTGTTCTACTATATAAGCGTCCAACAAGGTCGCCCGTTCCATCATTGTGTATCCGATCGTCGACCCAGCAGCAGAGCAGCAGAGCAGCAGTACCAGAGCAGCGGAAGTAGAGCAACGGCAGCAGAGCCTGGGGGCGAAAGGGCAACTACGCCTAGTGCGTTGGTGCCAGTGCTCCGGTATACTGGGCCGCCGTCATGGAATGCCCAGCTGCTGCAGTTCTCAGTCGGTCGTATTAACCGTATGCTCCGCAAGGGCAACTACGCCGAGCGCGTTGGAAAAATGGCCCTTTTCAGGGCCACAACATTATCAAGAAAGAGTTTAACGATTAATTTTCTAATGCCTTTCCGACACTTTTTTCATGACTTTCATCGGCCTCCTGATATTCATGTGATTTTGTGGTGGAATTTTTAGCTATGTGAAATTCACATGGTTTTCATCCATTAGATACCTATGTGGTAAATTTTTTGAGTGTGCTTCGGCAATCAAAATAAAGTTTGCACGATGGAAGCGCACATCGTTAATTTCGTTCATTTAAGTAATAATTAAATTGCCCCTCTCCCCCTACCCTCTGGCAGTACATGAAAAGCCTTTTTGTGAGGGGAATTTTTCAAAAGGATGCCGATTAAAATAATGGGTACCATTTTCTGAGGATGAGATGAGGACGATTCGTCATCCATATGAAGCGTGTCACGATCATTCCCAAGGATTCGTGGTTTAATTTTAGATATGGATGGAATGATAACACTGCACTGGTTAATTTCTTGGAATTCAAGACACGCCTACACTAATCAACCATCATCGAACTTACTCGATGAGGATATCAATTAACTAGGGAGAGCATGACAGAAAGATTCAACCATGTTTTTAATGGATTCATTTTATCATTCCTTGCGCACCACGAAGGAAACTGTTTTGAAAACGAAACTCTTTACCATCAAATTGGTCGTCCTGAAAAGGACGGATTTTGTTAAAGGGTGGGAACTTCGATCGAATTTAGGCCTTCTTTTCGGTCTTCTTGGGCAACAGGACGGCCTGGATGTTTGGCAGGACACCACCCTGAGCGATGGTCACTCCGGAAAGAAGTTTGTTCAGCTCTTCGTCGTTGCGGATGGCCAACTGCAGGTGACGTGGGATAATTCGGGTTTTCTTGTTGTCACGAGCGGCATTTCCTGCCAACTCGAGAACTTCAGCGGCCAGATACTCCATCACGGCAGCCAGGTAGACGGGAGCACCGGCTCCAACACGCTCGGCATAGTTGCCCTTTCGGAGTAGACGGTGAATACGACCGACTGGAAACTGCAATCCAGCGCGGCTCGAACGGGACTTTGCCTTTCCCTTGACTTTGCCTCCTTTTCCACGTCCAGCCATAATGCGAACGACACGAACAGTTCGATGCTGAAACTGAAATGATGACTTCGACCGTCGAGGGTGGTTTTATACCTGCGTCGAGTAGCATATTATGAATACAGGGACGGTACAATAAACACTGTGGGTAGCAAAATACTGAAAATGGGATGAGTGTCGGTTGTCTCTACGGGCATGAAACGAGACAGCGTTGCCAGTATTCCTGATTTATTTGATTTTCCAGATTTTCAATCGTCTTGCCAGATACTTACCCAGATATCACTTATATGTTATTACGTTTATTTCAAGAATTTTTAATTATGTTCCAGATTTTCCCAGATTTTTTAAATATGTTGCTTTAGAGAATGTCCAGCCCAAAACGAAAACCGGTTGGACATGAGCGTTTCCGAATTCAGTCCAATAGAGGCGATGGGGGCAAGAAGACCATACGGGGCGAGATGGGCCACCGTTCGTTTGGGAATAATACCTATTAACTCAATCTATTTTTTTTACAAACTTGTTGAAAATGCTTCTAATATGCATCTCCATGAAAACCGTATCAAAATTCAATTACATGTCTAAGATAATAATGGAAATGTAACATTAGCTCAAAATCTCTAGAATATTATAAGATATGCAGTCAAGAAAACAAGCATCGCATTCACTATATTACATTTTACTGATCCGCTGGTTCTACAGCGAGCAATACACGTAACTGTTGCTAAAAGAACTTATGTTTCTATTTCACTTGATTCCTGCATGTTATTTTCTAGTGAAAACCTGTCAAAACCTTAACTTTTACTAGGGTGCTCATATTGCCCCGTATGGTTGTTGATCGGAGCAAAAACTGAATTTTTTCAAACATAATCATTTATTCAGTCTATCATTACAAAACCACAACCAAAACGGCCCTTTTCAGGGCCACCAATAATTCGACAAAGAGTTAGTTTTGAAGACAATTTCTATCCAGAATATCACAGTTACACTTAAATTTGGGGACTATACTGGGGTGTGGGAACGCTGGAAGGGGAGATGCTGTCTGTCTTCGAACTACCAACATCATTCCAAAGCTCCTCCAGGGCGACAGAGTAGAGCAAACCCAACAACATCAGCCCAACAAAACGGCCCTTTTCAGCCACCAAACTTTCGCAAAAGATTTATTAAGGAATATTCCTAAAATCTAATATACACAATTAAATACAACACATAACAGACGTTATCCAACGCCAACCCTGCGGTCGTATCTAGTATACAACCCTTCCAACTTTTTTTTTTTTTTTTTTAACTCTTTATTTGTTCCAAATTCAAAATAAATTACATTTCATTTTTAACCTAGGTGCTCCAGTTACTACAGTAACTTACCAGCCTTAATTGTTATGATATATATCTAAGTGTTTTTACATTGTTCCTGTCTTGGCAATTCAGTATTTTAAACAGGTTTTTTTAAACCTGCATGTCAGTATAGCAATTGATAGCTTAAAACTAAATAACTAAAACTAAATCTTATCTAAGTATAAAGGGAATTAATCGTTGCAATTGAGGATTGTAACGATTTTTGCCGGAAATTATTAATTATTTTGTTGGACATTTGTGCTAAAGTCTCAACATTCGAAATTCTATGTACTTCGGTAGTACTGTACCAGGGAGGCAACTTCAAAATCATCTTCAGAATTTTGTTCTGAATCCTTTGAAGTGCTTTTTTCCTGGTAGTGCAACAACAAGACCATATTGGTACAGCGTAAAGCATGGCCGGTCTAAAAACTTGTTTAAATATTAGAAGTTTATTCGTCAGGCAAAGTTTGGATTTCCTGTTAATAAGAGGATACAAACATTTTATATATTTGTTACATTTGGCTTGAATGCCCTCAATGTGATCTTTAAAAGTTAATTTTTGGTCAAGTATTAATCCAAGATATTTCACTTGGTTTGACCAGGAAATTGGAACTCCGTTCATAGTGACTATGTGACTACTACTAGGTTTCAAAAACGAAGCTCTAGGCTTATGTGGAAATATTATAAGTTGAGTTTTGGAAGCGTTGGGAGAAATCTTCCATTTTTGTAAATAAGAAGAGAAAATATCTAAACTTTTCTGAAGTCTGCTGCAAATAACACGAAGACTTCTTCCTTTAGCGGAAATGCCTGTGTCATCAGCGAACAAAGATTTGTGGCAACCCTGAGGCAAATCAGGGAGGTCCGAAGTGAAAATGTTATACAATATAGGCCCAAGAATGCTACCCTGAGGAACTCCTGCCCTAACAGGTAGTCGATTAGATTTGGAATTTTGATAATTTACTTGCAGAGTTCTGTCAGTTAAATAATTTTGAACTAATTTCATAATGTAAAGTGGAAAATTAAACTTTTTCAATTTAGCAATCAAACCTTCATGCCAAACACTGTCGAATGCTTTTTCTATGTCTAGAAGAGCAACTCATTTGATAACGGTGATGCATATATGCGGGGCTTATTGTCAGTGAAAGTAACCTCGGAATGGGCGTGATTCTACATAATACAAGAAAAAGTGACATGAAGCTAATCGCATGAAAGAGTGATTTGAGTCATATTTTCGTAATTGGCTTGATGGAGACTTTGGTATCGAAAAATTCATGGAGCAGGATCCGATCGTTGCTTCAACTTCGGCATCAGCAACAACCTTTCTCGAATTTGTGCGAAATAGGTTAACATCGCATTATCGATAATGAAGTAGGTGATCCCAAAGTCGACACCATTATTAACTTTGTTCTAAGCAAGGCTAACCGCTAAATTTAGTAAAAGTTACACGGGAACAACTACGGTTCCAGTTTCATGAATAAAAAATCATGAAATGAAAAAAAAAACTTGCTATCCCATGAAATCATAACAATTATTCATGATTTCGTGATGGAAATTCATGATTTTATAATGCAGTGGAATCATGACAAGCGTTACCTGGCAAACCGTGTTCATATATCTCTTATACTCCTTTTGCCTTCCATCTTATACAAATACTGATAGTCAAAACAGTAATTTTCAATCATGAGTAATTTTTCTCATTTCGGAGATTGGATGTTTTAAATTAACTCATAAACGCGGAATGTCAGCAGAGGAGTGTTCTCATCGAAACTGGATTGAGTAGATTTCAATATGAAGTAATACATGGGAAATCACTATCAAGATTTTAGCCTTACGACGTAATCGGGGTAGTGAAAAAAAGTAAGAGGTTGTATCCAAGACACGACCGTAGATTTGACGTAGGATTACGAAAGGTGTTACAGCAAAAGTATAGTAAATGAATATCTTAAAAATGCAGATCAGAGCACGATAGAAGAGCTAGTTGAAATTATGAAGTTGGTATATGTAGAAAACATAATGCCCAAAGACTGGCACAAATCGACGCAAATTCCCATTCCAAAAAAGGCAGGAGCTTCAGAAGCCGATCATTTTCGTAGAATATCTCTTTGTAATGTGGCTTATAAAGTATATGCTAAATGGATAGGTAACCAGCTTCGAAAATTCACAGGAGATCCAGGGTTCCATCAAGCAGCATTTACAAGAAGTAGATCAACAGATGATCATATATTCATTGCTAGGCGAGTCATGGAAGAATATTGGATTACAGGAAACAATCTAATTGTTTTAGTGTATATCAGTAAGGCATTTGATACAGTAAACGTGAAGAGTTTAAGAGAAGTTTTACTTAATTTAAATGTTCCATCTAGATTAGTTGACACTGTCAATTAGTTGACACTGGGTTGCGTCCACTCACTTGCTATAAAAAAATATTATTCAGAATTATGCAATCGTCAGATGCAATAATGCTATGTTGTACTTGTAAGTAACAAGAAGAAGAAGTAAAGTATGTGTTTGACTCATAAAACCTGTCAATTTCGCTTTGAGAGCGTCACAATTAGCGATCTTATGATTCGTGAGCGTTCACTCAGAGTGAGCGCTCACGAGTCGTAAAATCGCGGATTGTGACGCACTGAAAGCAATTTTGACAGGTTTTATGTGTCTTACATATACTTCATGACCTCTTCTTGTAACTTACAAGTACTAATTAGTATTATACTATATCATGATTTCATAATTCCGAAAAACATTTTTTTATAGCAAGTGAGTGGAAGTAACCCTGGTTGACAGGGTGCTATTATGTGTTACGAATGAACTCACTAGAGTTTTATGGCAAAACTAATTTTCTAAAGAGTTCAAAAGAGGTAAGGGAATTAAACAAGGATGTCCCCTGTCACCTCAACTTTTTAATTATTTAATACAAGATGTTCTTAAAAACGTTGCAAGAGATATTCCTGAATTAGAATTGATAGATGTAGATTGCTTAAAACTGCCGATAATTTTAGCATTTGCCGATGACATATTTATAAAAGCAAGAAGATTAAATGAGTTAGAGAATATTCTTAAAGTACTAGAAGAGGAGCTATCCAAAGTAGGTCTTAAAATCAATAGGGAGAAAAGTCAAATTTTAGTCAGATACCCAAATGACAAAGCAGTACAGCCAAACGAATTAATGCTTAATGGAACTGCTTTTAAAACTAGTGAATATATTAAGTATTTAGGAGTTTGTCTGACAGCAACCCTAAACAGGAAATTAACCAATAGGCATAGATCTATAAACGCTTTGAAAACTTCAAGATTAGTAGTAGATTTTTGTACAAGATTTCATCCGAGCTGGGAATTAGGAAAGCTTATATATAATACAGTTTTGGCGCCAGCGTTATTATACGGAACTAAGGTACCGGTATTAACAAAGAAAAACAGGGTGGCACTAGCAATCTACGAAAAAATTATTCTAAGGAACATTTTTAATAGCTGTAAAAACCAAGTAATATGAAATTTAATGCAAGAAAATTTTTAGTAGGAAAAACAATAAATAGACGAGTTAGGGTAGGCAGAATAAGTTATTTTGGACATATCAGAAGAAGAGAGATGAATCATCCACTGCAATTAGCGTATAGATTCAAATTCAACAAGAAAAAAGAGGGTAGACCAAGCCTTACTTGGAAGAAATCATTAAATCCGGACTTTGATAGATATGAAGAACTTAATATAGAAGAATGGGAA